GTTTGTTCTCTTTACATTTGATTGGATTAGAACATTTATGTTTTTTTTTCATTTCTGACATCATCATCATTTCTCTGTTCTTTAAAGAACAAATACCAACAATTTAATGTAACTTCTGTCAAACCACCAATATGTGGAATATTTAATGCAAAATTATCATTATATTCAGACATTGAACACAGAAGGTATCATGTTCTTTGACTTGCCCTGTTTAGTTATCTGTGTAGTTGACAACAGTTAGGGTCATCTGACAAGAACTTAATATGAGTGATTGTGTCTCTTATATTGCTCATGGCAAAATTTTGAGACATTTTCTTGACTTTGATTGGTGCTTAAAGGTCCAGATCACTGTAGTATTTCCACCCCTGTAGTGGTAGTTTTCTGTGATATAATAAATCATTCTAGCAAGCTATGGAAAACAAACCAGTAATCAGTCTTTGTCTGTGTAGTTGCTGCAACCAAACTCCTGCTTGAAAACTTACCTCACTTCTCTCTACGATGAACTGTGACATGGAGGTATATTCTAAATTAACTCTTTGTTCCCAAGTTTCTTTGTGTCAATCTCTTTACAACAACTATACAAGCAGACTAGTACATGAGTGGTAGATCTTTATTACTGTGCCCATTCAGGGTGAAGCCCCACAAAAGTTTGCCTGTTCCTGATTGTTCTGTGACAGTAATACCAACTTCTGTTCTAGGTGTGTTATACTTCCATGATTTTGGGAAATGTGCATTGGGAATAAAATTCAATACAATGGAAGCACTAATATTTTGAGGAAACTTAAACTAACCCATCTCAAATTGAATTGTAATGAGAATCTGAAATTGTAACTGGATTATCACTAAAACAATGATTACATTAAAGCCACTTTATATATTTGTATACATCTACAGTTGGACGCACATGAACACACACACAAACACACACACACACACACACACACACACACACACACTCACACACACACACACACATACATTCATTCACTTTAATATACAGATAGTTGAAACCTGATTTGGGCACAAATCATAGAGAACCAGAGTTTATATTAAACATTTTAGGCACAAAAAATATTTCTTTACATTTTGAATGGCAGATAATTTTTTTCTTAAGGAATTATAAAAGAGTACTGGGTTTCCAGCAAACATAATATAAAAAAATAAAAACTAATGTATACTAACTGCAGGCTCACTAAATGTAGTGCTGTCCAAAATCTGGCCTGCCCATAGTACACAGGGATAAATGCCATCAAATAAATAGAACAAGGCCGGGAGTTGATGTCACACACCTTTTTTCCCAACACTTGGGAGACAGAGGCAGACAGATCTCTGTGAGTTTGAGAACAGCCTGGTCTACAAGAGCTAGTTCCAGGACAGACTCCAAAGCCACAGAGAAACCCTGTCTCAAAAAACCAAAAATAAATAAATAAATAAATAAATAGAACAGTGTTAGTTTTAAATTGGGTGACATGAACTTATGAAAAAAAGTCAAATATCCACAGAAATGTTTAGAAATAGACTTTGAGTAACATGGAAGGTCAGTTATCAAATACAAACTAGTGCCACACAGACATGTGTATTTGAAAGAATTAACATAACTGAAGTCATTATCTTCACCTTGTATTCTATGAAAAATTCAATCATCTTGTGACTACATAAATTTCCTTCCTCCATTCTTCCTGTTTCTTCCATTTAAAAATATTTGTTTGAGATTTTCTAAAGTCATTTAACCCTAGCTCTATGTAAAATTATTCAGGTTCAAAATAGAAAACCTACTTTTTTAAAACACAAGTAGGATTTGCTGTATTTAGGGTCAATGTACTGTTCCACAATTTTGAAAGCCACATGGTCATTGTCATATAGCAACACATTACCAATGACAACACCTTAAAGTTCTGTCTGTCTTGAGGGTCACTACAACTGTTTATGAAATAATCACTCAGAGGCCAATATTATATATAATTATTTAGGCAAAGGCTCACGTTTTTACTGGCTTCCTCTTTTATTAATTAATGAATTTTTAATAATCTGTGTATTGCTACAAGGATGTGGCTTGCCAGTAATATTCTGGCATGTTACTCCTTCAGCAGATACTCAGCATCTCCTTGACTCCACCTTCTTCCTTTCTCTTCTCTGTTTGGATTTCCCTCCTACCTATAATCTGCCTGGCCATTGGCCAAAACAGCTTTATTCATTAAGCAATAAATGCAACACAGATTTACAACATGCAGAAGTACATTCCACATTTTCTCCCCTTTCCTGTCTAATTAAAAAGGAAGGTTTTAACTTTAGCATAGTAGAATTGTATAGAACAAAACGTTTATCAAAAGAGAATTACAGTTATAATAATAGTAGTCTATTTGTATTTGGAAAAATTAAAGAAAATACACTATCATCTATTCTATCTTTATGATTCTAAAGTTTTATCTGTCTTTTATCATAACTAAGAAATCTATAATTATCTCTCTTCAGCTCCATCAATGAACACAGTAGGGTATAATATCATCTAAAATAAAGAAAGTGCATGGTAAGCAACTTCCAAAACTCTACAAATGACAGAGATATTTGACAGACTGAACAGTCACCCAAAGTCCTTCTGTAACTTTGGGGCATCCATTTCAACCTATAAGCCTAGAGTTTCTGGCAGATTTCTCAGTGAAACAGGAAATTTGGAGATCTATTCTGCCTTCTACTGGAAAAGTCCATAAGTTGCTTTCTTCTGTGTCCTGTAGAATGTCATGCAGTTTCTTCTGTGAAACAGGAATGCTGAAGAACCACCCATCTTTTTTTTTGCAACTTTAGCATTCCAGTTTATACAGCATACAAACAGTACAGGCAAGAACAGTTTCTTGACCAATTGGCTAGCCTTGCCACACTGAAGGCAAACTCCATAAGGAACTTCTTTGATGCCCATCATTCTCTAAGTAATAGGTGTACCAGCCTACAATCCGCACAGTGAGAGAAGCTAGGAAACAAGGAGGACACTAAGAGAGACATGCATGGTCCCCTGGAGAAGGGGAAAGGGACAAGATCTCCTGAGCTAATTGGGAGCATGTGGGGAGGGGAGAGGGAGCTAGAGGAAAGAGAGGGAGAGAACAGGAGGGGAGAGGAGGACATGAGAGAGCAGGAAGATTGAGTCAGGGGAAGAATATAATAGAGCAAGAAAAGAGATACCATAATGGAGGGAGCCATTATAGGTTTAAAGAGAAATCTGGCACTAGGGAAATGTCCAGACATCTACAAGGATGACCCCAACTGAGAATCTAAGCAACAGTGGAGAGGCTACCTTAAATGCCCTTCCCCTATAATGAGACTTATATGACATAGTATAGCCTTCATCCAGTAGCTGATAGAAACAGAGGCAGACACCCACAGCAAAACACTGAGTTGAACTCTTGAATCCAGTTGCAGAGAGGGAGGAGTGATGAGTAAATGGGTCAGAACCAGACTAGATAAACCCACAGGGAGAGCTGACCTGAACAAGGGGTTGTTCATGAACCCTAGACTGATATCTGGGAAACCAGCATAGGACTGTTCCAGAACCCCTGAACAAGGATGTCAGTTTGGAGGTCTGAGCAATCTATGAGGCATCTGATAGTGGTTCAGTATTTATCCCAGGTATACAAATGGACTTAGGGAGTCAGCTCCACATGGACGGATAAGCTCCCAGCCTAGACACACAATGAAAGGTCTAAGCCTTGCTCCAAATGATATGACAGACTTTGAAGATCCCCTATTGAAGACCTCACCCTCCCTGGGGAGCAGAAAGGGGTTGAGATGGGTTTGGGGGCCAAGGAAGCAGGGGAGAGAGAGGGAACAGGGATTGATATGTAAAAGAAGTTTGTTTCTAATAAAAATGAAAAAAATAAAAATAAAAGTACATTATAGAAAATTTATAATTTCATTCAAGTCCTAAATGGGATATTTTAATGTGAGAATTACCAGTACAGAGTCCGGTAAAGATATAAGGGTATTTATTGGGGAGATGCCTCACTTACAGAACCACATAGCCAGCTGTCAGGGCATGGAGTAAGTACAGCAAGCCAATGATGAAAAGGAAAAGGGGCTCCACATGCACACCTCTCAGTCTTAAACCTTCCATATATCACAACTTTGAGGTCGTGGTCAGGCACACTTGTAGCCAGTTCTTAGGAGGCATGGTTACAGTGTTTCCCTACAATATTTTGTGTGTTTCATCATCTAATCCTGAAATCCTGAGCCTTTTCTGGATGTTTTATCACCTGGGTCATCATTTCAGCCCCCACAATAAAATGTCTCTCTATAGCCAGCTCATTAAAATTCAAAAAGTTAAAAAAACATAATAGTATACACAATCCAGACTCTCTGTGCATTTTCCGTCTTTCCATGGCCCATTATAATTCTTTACCCTATTTGACCTTGAAGAACCTCAGTTTATTATCCTTAAATTATATTTATATCTGTCTCTTTGTCTATCTTATACAATCATTTTTCCAAGCCCTTATATGTTTATCATATATAATGTTACCCATTCAGAGAACTTTTTGTCTTAATTTGTTTTTATTGGGTATCTATAATCCTTTTTTGACAAGGAGAGTTATATAACATGCTAAGCAGGTGTGGCTACATCTAAAGTTGGGCTTTGACTGCTGCCCTCTCCCTGCTTGGCTTTCCAACATAGAGGAGGCATGTCTACCATAGCTCTGGGAGACTTGGTCACCACCCCAGTTCCAGGGACACAGCAGATCCATGTCAGCAATAAGCAACTTGCAGCACGTGAACACCAAGGAATATCAGAAGTTATACTGTAATGTCTCACTCAAATGACAACCAAAATGTCAAGTAAAGGAAAATGGCATTATCAGACTTGATAAACTTGATAGGAAAAAGTCTGAAAGACCTCAATCCTACTCAAGAACTACAGGCAAATGATTAAATCTGGGAATGGAAGAAGTGGTCATCCCTAGGGAAGGAAACCAATATTTCAAGTGTAATCTAAACTTTAAAAAACGATGAAGGTTTCAATAAAGCAATTTATCCTTGTACTTTTGGAGAGAATTTGAATATGGTCTTATCAAAATCACATAACACTTTGGGACAAAGATGCAACCTAAAAGCCCTGCACAGGAGGCCAAGATGGAGAAAACTTCCACAGCCACCATGACCTTCCCCTTTGTGCTGTGGTAGACAGGAAGGAAGGTGACCCAGACACAGCAGAACACCAGCATGCTGAAGGTCAGAAATTTGGCTTCATTGAATCTATCAGGAAGATTCCTGGCCAGGAATGCAACAGTGAAGCTCCCCAATGCCAAGGAACCCAAGTATCCCAGGACAAAATGGAATGCAATGACAGAGCCTTTGTTGCACACAATGATGATCTGCCCATGTTCAGACGTATCTGTGTCGATAAAGGGAGGTGATGTTACCAGCCAGATTCCACAGACAACAGATTGGAACAGGGTACAGATGGGAATGACAAAGTTAGGCACCCCTGATAACAGCATCCTTCTCATCCTTCTGCCTGGGGTAGTGAGCTTGAAGGCAAGGACAACAGTAATTGTCTTCGCCAAGACAGTAGACACAGCCACTGTGAAAAAGACTCCAAATGTGGTCTGCTGTAGGATGCAGGTGACTGTGTTGGGATGCCCAATGAAGAACAATGCACAGAGGAAACAGAATGTGATTGAGACCAGTAGGATGTAGCTGAGAGTGCGGTTATTGGCCTTCACAATGGGAGTGCCATTATACTTCACAAAAGCTCCAAGAACAAGAGCTGTTAGGGCAGAGAAGCACAGGGACATGAAGGCCAGAGTCATCCCCAGGGGGTCTTCATAAGCTAGAAAGGAGACATGTCTTTGCAGGCAGTGTGTGTGCTCTGCACTGGAATATTGGTCATCTGGACATCTCACGCACTGTTCCATATCTGCTGAAGGACATTAACAACAAAACCTCATAACGTTTCATCATTATACAATTAATCACTTAGTATCTATTTAATCAGAGAATGCCTCAATAATCATTTTGTTGTTCAGCGACAATGCTATTCATTTATTTGTGGAGCAGTGATGTCGGGCTGTTCTGTAGCAATCCATCCTGAGTGATGGAGGACACCACCTTCATGAGAGAGGGAGCTGAGAAGCAACTTAAACTTCTTTATCAACTTCCATATTCATGTAAGTTTTTATAAATAAGAAAGACACTTGGATTCATGGAGCTTATAAGGTGTAATAAATACAGATTACAATAATTAACATCTCAGAATGTATACTTATTATCTACAGATGTGTGGACTGTGTGCTGGTTAATGTGAGAGTAGCCCCCATATAGTCATAGATTGCAATGTTAGGTCACTAGGGATTGGCATAATTTGAATAGATTAAAAGATGTGTTCGTATTGGAGTAGGTGGGGCCTTGTTGGAGAAGTGTGTCACTGAGGATGGGCTTTGGTTTTTGAAATCTCAAGCCAACCTCAGCATCTTAATGTTCCTGCTGCCTTAGGATCTGAACCTAAGGTTTTCCAGAACCATGCCTGTCTCTGTGCTGACATGTTTCCTATATCATGATCAAAGACTAAGCCTCTCAAAGGTAAGCAAGCCCCAATTAAATGCTTTATTTTATAAGTATGTCCATGGTTATGGTGTTTCTTCACTGAAATACAATTCACACTAAGACAAAAATACCGGGGAATGGAATATTGCAGTGACAGGCCTGGCCATGCTGCTAGGTGCCAGAGTGTGGATTTGGAACTGTAGATTGGGAAAGCATTTGAAAGTTTTAAGTGAGGCAAAATTGACACTAGTATCAGGAGCATGGAAGACATTCCTGAGTGATAGTTTAGCTATGGGGACCCAGCTTGATTATTTTCAGAAGGGAAGTAACATAGTAAAAGGCTTAGGGACTGTTCCTTTAATATTGTGGCAAGGAATGTAGTTAATTTTTGTCTTGCACCAAGAAACCTGCCAGAAGCTTAACTCAAGTGTTTTAGATTAAGGGAATTGAGGAAATTTTAAGATAGTTTAGTGTTGACTTCCTCATGTGGTTATTAGAATTAACTCTTATAAAATATATAACAAAATGCTAGGTGAGCATGGAAAATACAAAACAATACAGTTTGGGAAGAAAAGGAATATCAGAAAGTGCAATGGAGCTAATTCCAGATCTTAAAGTCATAAATTTTTTTAAAAGCCTGATGGTAAATGAAATAAACAGAGTGTCAAGCTAGGGGCAAGAACCCACAGAGCTCAGTTTCCAAGTTGTGAAATGAACTAAATAAGCTTTCCATGAAGGAAATCATTTAATACATAAGTCTGGTGAATATCTGGGTGGCAGTGGTGCCTTTAATCTTAACACTAAGCAGGCAGAGGCAGGTGAATCTTTGTGAGTTCAACACCGGCGTGGCCTACAGAGAAAGTCCCAGCATAGGGTCCAAAGCTACACAGATAAAACCTCTCTCAAAAACAAAAAAAATAAATAGAAAATAAAAACCCGGTGAAAATGTATTTAAACAAAAGGTGCCAAGTTCCAACCCCAATAAGCTGAAGACATTGTCAGATTTAGCCACATGGTTCTGGCTTTGAGTAAAGGACAGAAGAAAGGGATTGTGGAATCACCCTCTCTGGCTAAGTAAAGTCACTTGGCAAGGAATTTGTCTGAAATATCCCTGCATGAAGGACAAAAGATGCCATTGCGTGACACTGTGAAGGTGAAGCCCAGATTTCATTGGCTATCCTAAGACGGTGGAGATGCCTATATCATGGGATACCTGCCAAATAACCTGCAGACTGGATGTTGCACCAGCCCAAGGGAAAGAAGTTTGTTACAGTCAACAAAACAGAAAGGAGTTGGAGATCTGAAGAAAGCTTTAACATTACACATGATGATACAGAACTTAGAGTTTGCTCTGCAGGATTTTGGTCTTTCTTGAGGTCAGTATTTCCTCATTTTCCTTCCTATTCTCCCTTGTGAAATGGTAGTTTATATATTGTGCCATTGTATATTGGAGTATGTAAACTGCTTTTTCAGTTTAATTTTATAGGGACTTAGACTTAAGAGATTGCCATGAGTCTCAGAAAACACTTTAAACTTTGAACATTTATACAGGGCTGAGATTGTGATTGAGTATGAGGACTTTTGAAATTTGATTAAATGCATTTTACATTATGATATGATTTAGGGCCCCAAGACTGTTATGTTTATTGTCATAACAGTCTTGTCAATAGTATGCATATTGTCTAGGGAGAGGCATGATTTAAAAGGAATAAGTGTTGTGCTCTTGTTGGACTCCACGTGATATTGTTATAAGAAGTTTCTTATTGAGGATGAACTAAATGGGTTCTCAAAAGCTCAAGCATCCCCGGTTTCTCTCTCTTCTGCTTGAGTATCCGGATATAGAACACTCACCCACTTCCCCAGAACAGCACCTTCCTGTGTGCTGCAGGGCTCATTGTTATTACAATGATGGGCTAAACCACTGGTAGTGTAACTGAGTCCCCATTAAATGTTTTCTTCAAAAACAATTGTAATGTTCCATGCTATCATGACATAGCATTAGAACAGTGACTAAGACAACATTTCTAGATCACAAATCCTGCTGATTCAGTGCTATGTATATTTTGCTTGTGCCTGTAGTCTGTATCTTCATACAGACTCAAGGATTTACAATTCTCTCAGGTATATACTGTCTGCATAAAGCAACATTTCGATTAAAGAAGCTGTACTTCACATACACCAAAATGCCCTTCAGTTTAAGTCCAGCACATCAACAGTTAATGTAAGTATTTTGAACAAACAAACAAACAAAAAGAACATTTGCGTTTTCTACAATGTTTTATTCCCATGATGTAGAGTATATCAACTTTTATCAATTAACTTGTACTTTTTCCTTGGCCCCACTCACCTGTTTATTAATAGCAAAAAGGAAATCCAAACTACTTATCACTTTTGAATATATAAGAACAAAAATATAGATTTTTAAGTATTATAATTAAAATTCATACATACATATAAGGCATTTGATTTATACTAACTTCCTAGTTCTTTTGGTATTGACTTGAGATGGTGGGGACATGTCAAAGTGTTTCAAGTGAGGCTAACACTGGTGCTGAAGGGAGAAATGAAGGGAAGTAATTGATTTTCAACTAAATAGTATTTAATAAAGTTTATTCTTATGTGTATATAGTATGAATAAATGTGTATCTACAATTTTTATGTGAGAGTGAATTTTGTATGTCAGTGTGAGCACACATGCATCTCTGCTTGTATCTGTAGCTCAGACCGCAATCATGAGGTGTTTTTCTTCACTTCCCCCTCTTTGTCGTAGTCTCTTTGTGTTCCCAACTACACCTTCCAACCTAGATGATATGCAAAATTTTACATATTCTAAATCCATCCCTTATTTTTGGAAGATGTGACTGCTGAAGAACACTACCCCATCTTTGGGTATATTCTTTGGATTTGCACTGTTCACAACTAGTGCTTTACTCTACAAGTTATTCCCCAAGATCTTAAACATATTTTATTAATCAACAACAAGAGTCTGAACCTCTGTCTTGGTCAGAGACAAGCTGTGTGCCAGAAAGACAAGATTATGGACTGACTGATCCTGCTTTAAATTTAACTTGGACAGTGTTAATGAAGATTAAACATATGGGTAGCAATATTACAAGCAAAAATTTCCTGTCAAATAAGCTATAAAACTAGTTCTGTGTTCATTAAACATTTTTTGCAAAATGTAAAATCTGAAACCATCATATATGTGTGATTTAAGGAAGAGAGTGTGTGTGCATTCCAGGGATCATAATATCCTTGATATCAGAGCAATCATTAAATTAAAATCACATATTTTATGTATTCACTTTACTTCCAGGTCTTTTCTACTTTTGAAAAGAGAAGATATTCTGTTTCAGCAATATCTCCTACACAAAAACTCATACCCGTCTCATTGGAAATCTCATTCTCTGGGCACCAGGCACAATCAAAGCAGCAGTCTGGTGCTTGTTCTTGATAAAATTTCCTGAATCCAGGGGTGCACGTCACACTGCATGTAGAAGTGGGAACCTGAGGTAAATAAAAAATGAGTTGGTAGGAAAGACAGGTTATACATATTCTTCTATTATCATGTACTATATATCAAAATTGGTTATCTGAACATTTTCTGTGCCTTCACTGAAAATGAATGCCATACAATATTTAGTACATTGTGTTAAATTATATATATAATGTTTTGGTAGTAGAGAACAGAAACTGTTTATTCCTAAATTGAAATGATCCCAGGAATAGTGAAGGGGTATGCATTACTCTTGAAGGGTTTAAATACCAATATCAAGGATATCGACTTTGTGGGAGGAAAGTAATGTGGAACAATAAAGAGTTACAGGATGGTTGTGAACAAAGCATGTTGTAGGAGACTCTCAAAAGTGTAAAACTTTTATGTTAATATGAAAGTTTGGATATAGAAAATGTTTCTGGAAACAAATACATGATATCCTTGGTTAGGGTATGAAGTTGTTCACAAAGAATTACAAAATTTCATGGTGTATACCTAGTTACTAAATTTTTAATAGTCTAAATATATTTGGTTGTGGTTTTCTTTGTATATATTTTCTGATATATGGTGAATTGGAATGAAACTTTAGTTGTCCATGGATGCCAGAGGCATTGGATCCCCATGACCTGGGCTTATGGGAAGTTGTGAGTCATCTAACACAAGTGCTCTGTGAACTGAGTTTGGGTCCTTCCCAAAAGGAGTGGTTGTTGTTAACCACCAAGCCATCACTACGATGCCACAAATTTTTATAACACAAGTGTATTGAAAAGAATGAAAATTATGGCATACACACCAGTATTGATCCCATGGACAACTCTAAGTCTTCAGAAATATGCAGTTGCTGGCTCTGTGGTAAATAGGAGGAATAACTTCCTATCTTCACCTTCAATCCAAAGCCTTGAGGGAAATTCCAAATGTTGTAAATGTCATAATTTGCACAGAGTTTTTTCCTCAGATTCATGTCTACCAGCTCTCCAACAGGGTTAGTAAATACCCTGTACTTCAGCAAAGAAGCCATCTAAGAGAGATGCAGCATTAAATGATTATACATGCCCACCCAGTAAGGCAAAGTGACATTGTGAATGACCCCTAATTTTCAATTTCTTCAAGAAAAGAAACTGTATTGAAGATAAGCTATATAGTACAATACAAGATTCCTCATGGGAAACTAAATTATATTATGATTCATATCCATTTTTCATATTGGAAATAGAATAAATGAATAAAAATAATGACTAACATGATGAAAGATGAACATTTATTACTTGCACATAAACTTTCAAAAATGGAAGATTTTACATAAGTGTGTGTATTCCCTGTGTGTGTGTGTGTGTGTGTGTGTGTGTGTGTGTATGTGTGCATGTGTATGTAAAAAAATTATTTTGAAAAAGGGAGAAGTCATGAAATTAAAAAAAACTGAGAGGATTGGAAGTTGTTGATAGGAAGAGGAGTGGATATCATATAAATACAGTAAGCATATATGAAATAAAATTAATATCAACATGCAGTCCTTGCTTTTTGTCAACATACATATTTGATATTTCATATAAATAATTGACAGTGATTATATATTTTATTCCTTGAGAAATAAATACTCCTCTAGTTCTCACTGAGGATTTTATGACACAAATTTATGGTATTATTTCTAATATTGAACTCATTTGGAAAATGTGGAAGCACATTTATTAAAAATAACTGATCTTCATACAAAATGTTTTAATCCATTGAATATTAATCTTATGAAGTCTATTTATCCACAAAAAAGATTAATGTTGTGGAGTTTTGAGGAGTAGAAATCTTTGTACTTAGAGAATAGTCTCTGCCAAATATATATGAAGGATGCAGGATCTCTTACTGGTTGGTGAAAAAACACTAATTGACCTGTAGCCAGACAGAGTACAGCAGGGCTTGCAGACAAGGAGAATTCTGGGGAGAGGTTGCAAAGAGTGGATGGAGAGAGATGACATAAAGCAACTGGGAATATAGGATGTGCTGGCAATGTCTGGTAAGATGAGGCAATGTAGAAATACATAGATTAATAGTTATATGTTAATAATTAAGAGAGAGCTAGCCACTAAGAAGCCTGAGCCATTGGCCAAATATTTGCACTTATGTAACTATTTGTGTATTTGGTGCAAAGTGGCTGTGGGACCAGGTGGGACAAGAAGCTCCATCTTCATAGGAATATTTGTGGGACTATTTAAAAACATCATGACTAAATCTTGATAAAAAAGCAAGATACTTTACCTGATGACAGTCACGGAATACTCCTGTGGGTTTGGCTATATTCTGAGACTCTAATTGTTGAAGAATGATTTCATGGTATGTGTGGGCCACAGCATACACAGCATTGTATAAATTGTAGCCTTCTTCACTCCAGACCATGTCAAATTTGTGTTGTGACAACCATTCCAATGTAGTGTTATATAGATAATGATTCATTGAGCTATAGTTGGTGTCAGAGACTGAACAATTAAAAAAATTCCACTTCATTTTCATCTGAGAAATATCTACTGGATATTTGGAAGTATTCAATGTTCTCATAAAATTCATAAATTTAGAAACCTTACCATGGTGATGCATATAAGTGATGGTCCCATGAAAAGGGTCAAGGCTAAAATCTTTGTTACTTGTGATGACATCCCATTGTGAGGTAGTGACCCAGATCCTCTGTACACCTAAATATGCCCATCTTCTGAAGCTGACTTCTAGGGTAGAGTTCATTTCACCATAAATGGCAACAACCTTTGCTGATGATGTCATGATTTGGTTGTCATATATTACAGCCCTTTTCGTGTATAACTGTATGCTATCTGGGATCATATTCACAAAAGCTAAACAGATTCCCTTTCTTTGCATCTCTTCTCTCAAGTCTGAGAGAAACTGGATTCCCTGGTCATCATCTGAGATGACAAGACCTATCCAGATCCATGCAAAATAAAGCATCAAAGAGACCATGGCACGGGGCAAACATGCATCCTTGTGTGCTACCTGGTAGACATAGGGAAACAGGACATTGTCACTCAGGATAGGATGAAATGGTCCAAAGAAAATCTGAAGGATGAAGAACAGAGGAAGCAATGTGAGGAATATGATTGGCAGGAGTTCATTCTTAGATATGAGTTTTGTTACTTACCTTCCAGAACTTCTACAAAGGACAGTAAGATTACACTATAAACAGTGTGTATTTGTCCTATAGGTTTTAGAATATATCTGACAAGTCTGAATGTGCAACAAAATTTTGGGATGTTTCCCCAATTAATCTATTCTTGTAATACAAAGAATTGTTGGTGATATGTGAATATGCTATTTATTACTCCTTTAAAATATGTAAGTCAGCACACACTAACACATGCTGCACATTAATTTTCTCTAGGAACTTGGGATTGGCATAGACATACTGTTACCTCTGCTTTTATCACACAGTCTCACCTGTGGATATGTGGTATAGGTTGTCAGTCTTACAGATGTAGTCCATGATGGTCCTGTAAGTGCTACATTGCATGGAGATTTTCTACAGTCATAATTAGGTGGTCTAAAGAAGCTGTATTTCGGTGAATATCGTAAATCGATTGTATCCAATGTTTGAAAACACATGCCAGAAATGATGGAAAAAATAATAGACATGTTGGGTAAAATAAAAGGGTTCCTGTTTATCTCATCAGTAGCAAAAAGCAATACCAGGAAATACTCATATTTTCTTGTTGGTATCCTAAAAAAAAAAAAAAGACACATGAGCATCATGGGTGATGTTACAAATGTGAAATTTCAAAGCAATTGAAGCAAACTTTTCCTATGTCCCCTCTAAATTTCTGTATTAATTCTATGATACAGACTATAAGGGCATGGAAGAAGATATATTTAAAGTTGAAAACATTTTCAGAAGTCATCTAAATAGATCCTTCTGTAAAGAGCTTTTATGATCCCTGAATGTTATCCTTGAACTAGAATATTGCTCTAGACATTTGGTATTCTATCTATTTGTTTTGGGATTGTCATTTTAGAGAAACATGAAAAACATTACTTGAATGAGATCTATGGTCCTTTATCCTTTAACGGTTTAAGGATAATTATGGATGAATTAACATTTAAGAGATTTAGTTAATTAGTTAAATGTTCCATTCATGTTTGCAAAGTATCTTGACCATATTGAATATATCAAAAATCCTGCTTCAACCATGGCCATGCTGGTAATAGGATATAAAGGAGATAAAGTGAATACAAATATAATAGGAAGAAGTCAAACTATTAATATTGCAAATGTTATTATGGTATACATGGTGAGCCCAAAAATTCTATCAAGGATCTCCTACAAATGAGAAACACCGTTAATGAAGAAGATGGCTATAATTTTAACTCAAAAAAGTCAGTATCCTGTAATGAAAACTCTTTCTGTCAGCCACATGAGTTTCCTACCACCACGTTAGGGCCCCCAAATAACACAAAGAGTTTTATATTAACTACAATACTGCTGGCCAATGACTAGGATTTCTAATTTGATAGCTAACTCTTAATTATCAACCATAACTACTAATCTACATATTTTATAAAGACTTATCTGATGGAGGATGCCTGTGTCATGTGTCTTCTCTTGTTGGGTTCACATGGCGACTCCTGTTTTTACTACATTTCCCAGAATCCTCCTTGACTCCTTGCCCCACCTATCTTGCTTTCCTATTGGCCAACAGTGCTTTTTTATCAAACAATAGGACAAATATGTACACATAAGTATTTCCCCATCAGTAGCCCTCTCATTATGAATAATTTTTAGGCTGAGAAAATAATCAGGAAAACAACCCCCTTAACAATAGCCAAAAAATTAAAAAATATCTTGCTATAACTATCCAAGCAAGTAAAAGTCCTATATGACAAAATCATCAAATCTTCAAAGAAAAAAAACTGAAGGATATATCAGATTATGGAAAGAACTCCCATGCTCAGGGATTGATAGAATAAGCATAGTAAAAGTATCAATCTTACTAAGAGCCATCTACAGATACAATGTAATCCCCATCAGATTCCAACATGATTCTTTACAGTCCTTGGAAAAACAACATCTAAGATTATATGGAAAATCCAAAAATTACCATAGCAAAAATCAACCAGGATAGCAAATCTATTCAGTACAATGAAATAATATCCAGTGGTATCACCAGCTCTGATTTCAAGCTCCACTACAAAGTTACAGTAGTGAAAAAAGACACAGTATATTCAGAGCATTGCTATAACAACAGAGAGGTTAAACAACGGGATCAAATTGAAAATCCAGACAAAAATCCAGAAACTTTTACACAACAGATTTTTGACAAAGAAACCAAAATTATACACAGGAAAAAAGAAAGCATCTCTACAAATTGGTGCTGACATTACTGTATACTATCATGACCATGCAGAAGAATGAAAATAGCTCCTTGTCTATCACCCTGCACAAAAATTAAATTCACATGGATCAAAGACCTCAACATAAAACCAATTGCATTGAATATGATACAAAAGAAAGGTGGAAAGAACCTTCAGCACATTGGCACATGTGACAACTCCTCAACAGAATACCAATAGCACAAGCTCTAAGACTGACAATTAATAAATCAGATCTTATGAAACTAAAAAGCTTCTCTAAGGCAAAGGAAACCATCAGTATGACAAAATAGAGGACTGTAAAATAGGAAATGGTCTTCAACAACCCCATATCAGAAAAATAATACAATAATAATTGCCAAATATACCAAGGTCTGATTTCCAAAATATATAAAAAAAAAAACTACACACCATGAAAACAAATACTGTAATTTTAAAATAGGGTACAGTTCGATACCCAAAATTTTCAAAAGAAAAATTTCAAATTGTTGTGAATCTCTTAAAGAAATATTCAATATCCTTAAGACAGTAGAAAAATGTAAATCAAAACTTCACAGAGATTCCATTTTATACCTATCACAATGTCTAAGATAAGTAACACCCCTGACAGTTCATCCTCGTGAGGATGCAGAATAATAGGAACATTCATCCATTTTTGATGGAGGTATACATTTATACAGCCACTGTGGAAATTAGTGAACATAGGCATCATTCTAACTCAATATCCAGCTATGCCACTCTTGGACATTTACCTAAAGGATGCTTCATCCTATCACCAGGACACTTGCTCAACCATGATCATTGTTGCTCAATTATTTGCTTAAAAAATGTTAACAACCTACAAGTTCCTCAATGGAAAAATTGAAGAAGAAATGTATGGTATATTTATACAGTGAAATATTATGCAGCTGTCAAAAATGACTTTATGAAATATGCAGGCCAGTGGATGGAACAATTAAAACAATAACCCAGATTAAGATAACACAGACCCAGAAAGATGAATGTTGTCTGTACTCACTGATATGTGGATATTATCTGCTAAGTAAATAATAACACTGCTACAATCTGCAGACCCAGAAAGCTAGATAAAAGGGATTCATGGGAACATTTGGATCTCATTGGGAAGAGGAAATAGAATGAAAATGTTATGGGTGGACTGAGCATGGGAGGATGAGAACTGGAGGCTAATATGGGGAAATGTAGGTGAGATTGGCTTGAGTAGGAAATAGAGGGAGGGACATCTAGAATTTAGGGTCATTTAAAGAGTGACAAGGAAATCTAGTGCAGTGAAAATCTCCTAAAATATGTGAAATTATCAGAATGAAGTCTCCTAATCAAGAGGGAGATAGAATCACAACTGGCCACTCCAGTCACCACATAACTCTTCCAGGACCAGAAAAACTGGGATACATCCAATTTTGTTGTTAGTCAAAGAGGTCCCATGGAAATCCCAAACAACACAGGCTATTAGCAAGACAATAGTATGCCCCTGCAAACAAACAGCAAAAGTCTCATTACTAAAGATAACACCGGCACAATAAATGGAATATGGAGAGGTCAAATTGCTGCCTCCATGGAAGGTTCACACCTATATTCTAGAGACTTTGGCATGGGAAGGTATTCTGAAATTTACCAAAGAGAAACTTAAACACCAACACAGCCACACATTTGGTCTACAATCTGCACCACCTGCAATATATGTTATGGCAATGTTGGCACAAAACTTGTGGGAGTAATCAACCAATGTCTGGTTTGTCTTAAGGACCATTCCATGAGATGGAACCCATATCAAACCACATTGGAGGACCAAATAAGAGATATGCAAGAGACCTAGGGTAAACCAAATACTACTGGTCTAAAAAATGTAACAATAAAATGCATCCTAATGATATTCTTACATATTCATCGATTGGTGCCTTCTTCAACTATCATCAGATCCTTTACCATACCTGGGAATATACACAGAGACCTCCAGCCAGATATTAAGCAATGAGAGAGACAGAGACAGAGAGCTTGGAACACTCAACTCAAATTGGATGTCTCTATCAAACCCCTTCCCTCAGACTTTGGGAACCTCCATGGAAGTAATGTGAAAAGAATACAAATGTCAAAGGGAATTGAGAACATGAGGGCAACATTGCCCTCAAAATCAATTGAGCAAAGCTCATATGAACTTAAAAAAGTTTGAAGCAGCAAGAACAGAGCTAACACAAGTCTGCACCAGGTCCTTTGCAAATATATTTAGGAGCTTTCAGTGCATGAGAATACTGAGTGTGTGAATGAGTGGGTCTCTGTTTCTTGTGCCTGTGTCTTATCAGACCACCATGCTTTAAAATTAGAATTCAACAACAACACAAACTACAGAAAACCTACAAACTCATGGAAATTAAGTAACACCCAATTGCAAAATTTATGGGTCCAGGAAGAAATGAAAAATAAATTAAAGATTTCCTAGATTTCAATGAGAATTCAGACACAGAAATGTCCAAACCTATGGGATACTTTGAAAGCAGTGCTAAGAGGAAAGTTCATAGCGCTAAATGCCCACATGAAGAAACAGGAGAATAATCACATTAGAGAATTAACAGCACAACTGAAAGCTTTAGAAAACAAAGAAGCCAGTACACCCCAGAGGAGGAGATGCCAGGAAATTTAAATTGAGGGCTGAAATCAATAAAATGGAAACTAGGAGAACAATACAAAGAATCAATATAACAAAAAGTTGGTTCTTCGAGAAAATCAACAAGATAGACAAACCTTTATCCAAACAAACCAAACAGCAGACAGTGAACATGAAAATAAAAAAAAACAGGAATGAAAAGGGGGACATAACAACAGACACAGAGGAAATCCATAGAATCATCAGGTCATACTTTGAAAACTTGTATTCCTCAAAATTTGAAAATCTAAAGGAAATGGACAATTTTCTGGACAGATTTCACTTACCAAAATTAA